CTGTTCCAGTGATTACTGCATAATAAATATGGCACAATTATCCCAATGTAACCAATAGCAATGGGCTCTAGTGATGCAGTGGTCATGTCCCTAGGTCAAGTCCCACCCTACTCCTGATTTGCGTCATAACACGTTTGAAAAGGTTGATTAAAATATCTGAACAGTGGCAATAAATGGAGCAGAGCATAAAGTAAATAAAAATTAGTCTTCAAAGCTCAAAGCATGGAATGTGACTGAGTAGGAGGAGACCATTCAGCCCAATGTATATGAGCTCATTCTTTCAAAGAATTATTCAATTAGTTGAACATCCTTGTGTTTTTTTCCCCTCCATAGCTCTTGTATTCAAGTTAAAAATGAAGTTAACCCCAGCCACACTTTGAGACTGTTAATCTGGGACAGCACCAGATAGCACCAACATTATTGCCCATTTTGATTTGTTGGCTGCATAGCCCTTGAGTTGTTACCAGTGTCTTTAATTTCCTTTGTGCTCAATAGATAGAAAAATCAACAATTCTATACCATTACATTAAAACACATAGCAAAGTACTTTTGTTCATATGCCTCAAAAGGTGTTTCGAACAATCATAGTAATAACCAAATATGCCATTACTGATTAGGAGCTCATCAGGGTGCAATATTAGAATTTCCTTTGAAACTTTAATTAATTGTGATTGCATTTTTAACTCCAGCTGAGCCTATTCATTACTTTGATTGTATATATACGTGCATTCCTGTATAGTACTGCAATCCTATCCAGCGAAGCAGTTAATGAGCCCATAATGTTTTCTGTAGCAGGCATCTACGGGAGAAAGGATCATGAGGAAGAGGTGAATGAACCTGCTGTGTTTGCAAATGATTACAGAGCACATTTGCTTGTTGCATCATTGGTGACACAGAGTGGAATGGGTAGAGGAAGAAAATGAAGCATCACGTTAGCAAGATAGCTGGACAATCTAGTCAGGATTTACTGCTCCATTAATTGCTTAACAACATACTGCAGCACTTTAGTGAAATGATGAAGAAAAGACAGGTTCAGTATAAGGGCTCTCGACATATATGAAAGTGTAATCTATCAGAATATTAGTACAGGATGACCGTTGAATGCTATGGTTCACAGTGTTTTAACTGGACTGTGTTACAGAAGACATGTAATAGTTAAGTCAATGGACAGAACTGCATGTTAGAGTCTTTCAAATCTCATGATCTGGAGTAAAAATTACTTTCACAACTGACCAAAGTGGTGAGGAAATCCAGCACCAAGATCTCGATGTGGGGGTACCATGGAGCAGGTGAGACCTGCACAAGGACACAGAACTGATTACCACTTACCTTGAACTGCAAGCAGGCTGCAACATGGTCTATGTGCAATGATGTCTTTCATGGGTGATGTGGGGCTGGAAGCACAAGGTCCAAGCACTCACGCAGCTTTTACAGTCAACTACTTTGTGACATGATTAGTGCTGCATTTGTTGGAATAAGGTCCAATAGTAGACAATTGTGTAGAGGCATTCCATGGCCGTCTTTGTCAAAGTATTCCATGTCCCATGTATGGAAGACTACGCTATATTGTCATTTGTCAATGATGTGAAAGGTGACTACTCACATTGATGATGACCTATTCTGTTTCTTCTGTTCCTGACCCAGGTTTAGTATAAGCATGATGATGGATACAGCCACAGCAGGCACCACTGTCGCTGTTGCTGTGATGCACTGAGAGTGCTGAGACACAGAGGAGGAATAGATGCACCAACAAGTCCAGGACCAGCAGCAACATCCACCATCTATGAGTCAGCGTCCACATTCAGAGGCTGAAGCCGGAGATCCCCTTAGAACACACAGAAGTTAGCACAGGGCCAAAAGCTGCCAATCTCAACGTCACTTCCTCCAGTTGATTGAGGTACAGAGTCAGCACAGACTGAAGGACACCCTGGGAGACCATCCACTCCACATATTGGAGAGGTACCTACAACATGAAGGAATGGGTGGCCACCCTACGCTGGTGCCTGTCAGGGTGACAGCTGCAGTGAATGTTAATGAAACTGGCTCCTTCCAAGGAGTTGCTGGGGACCTGTGTGGGACTTCTCAACCTTTGACCGACAAGGGCATCAAAGCTGTTACTGAAGAAATTTATGCCAGATCACAAGATGTCAATCTCTTTTCCCCATAATGAGGTCAGTGCAGCAACCTAGATAGTAGGCAGGGCATGATGAAAATACCACGTTGAGAGGGCCACATCATAATGCAACCAAGTTCATCAATAGTAAAGGGTTATATGCCATCAGTGTACAGGTCATCTGTGATCTTCCGTGTCACATCTTAGAGGTGTGTGCCTGGAAGCAGCCATGATGCCTAGATCCTTGAGAGTTGTCAAGGAGGTATCAGATGCTTTAAGAAGGATTGTCCCTGGGGGGACAATGGCTACCCTCTGCCACCATGACTGATGACCCCATGCATTAACTCCTGAATAAGGCTGAGCATAGATACAGTGCAGTCCATTCTTCCTGCAGGGTCAATGTGGACCAGACAATAGGCATCCTGAAGATGAAGTTCTGATGCTTGGATGGGTCTGGAAGGGCAGGACAGTATTGACTGAGTATGCTGCTTTATCCTAGCATGGTGCACTCTGCACAACGGGAACAGACAAAGAGAAGATGTGATGGAAGCTAAAGACCTGGTGCAATGGGAAAAGTCTCCCACGTATACATGATAGACCAATGAAGTGTCAGACACTACAAGCCAGACAGGACCAGCTTGATACCGGACTCCAATAAATGAGATCTGGGTGTGGTGATCATTCATCGACTATAATGTTGTTTGTGTTCAAAATGCAAGCAGCCCCTGTCTGGAATGAGGGACAAAAGTAGATCAATTCCATTTGTTTTTTACTGTTGCTGAATGAAAGTCAGGGCGTTAAAGCATTTGAAGGCTTTGCCGTATGTGCTGGCCCCACATTGAACTGTGATAAAATGTTGGGCATTAGTGATAGTAGCAGTGACTTAGTCACGTGTGATTTGGGATTAGGTTCAGGGTTAGGGTTAGAGTTAATTGTAAGATGTGATATGGTTAAGGACAGCGAGGATGTATGGCTCTGTGCTTCAGCAGCAATAAGTGTAGAATAGTGCTGTTGTATGTTCTATGAGGTGTCAGCTCTGGCACCTATGTGCCCTGCGGAGTGTCAGTTTGTGTTTGCTGTCTGACTACAAGCACAGTAAAGGACAACTCCAGACTGCCAACACTTGACCTGGTGAATGACCGTGTTTCGAAAATGGCTCTGCGGATCCAGAGATATCCTGGCAGTGATATGAGCTTCCAGTGACGGTGTGTGGGAAAGTTAGACAAATGCAGCACCTTTGGTGCATTGTACATCATTAATGAGGTAAGTTTGAGATGACAGCATGAGAAAACTCACCAGACCTTTTGGAGAGATGCTTTCCATGATACATGAAAAAATGACTTAGCTGATTTCTGATATGATTCAGCCCATAGCTTTAATGGGCTTCGTCTGTTCCTAAGAATGGGATGAATTTCTTCAGAGAGCGAAGTCCAATAATAAACCAGTTATACCTGGAAGTGAATGCACTGGTCAGAGTGAACCCCCATTTTTTATATTGCAAGTCAGACCAATATGTGTCATTTTCAAATTTTACTGTCTTTTTTCTTTCCTTCTGTAAGGTTTGTGGTGGGTCTGGTCATAGATTAATATTTTAAAAATATTAAACCAACTGGAACCCACCAAATTTTGGATTGAATGTTTCTAGGATGAGGACTAGGTGGCCTCTTGCTTGGCAATTGGAATATTTGAATGATGCTGGTAGCCTATGAGTTAATGTGTTTTGCAATTTTAATACTGTGCTGGTGGCTTTCCCAGACTTCAGTAGACCTGAAAGCTGAAGAGAAGTGGGAAGATCTATGGGACGGAGATTTATACCATTGGTTGTTGGTCAGGAAGAAAAGGAGGCATTCACTGCAACCTTGCTAGATTCTGTCATCAAACAGTACCCCCATACAAAAATGATTAGAGTTGGAAAGAAGGGTTGGAAAACAGTTAACCCTCATCAAACATCTCCCAGGCATGGCCCATGCAGGATGGTCATCATAGCTCATCAGATGCTAATGCAATCCATGACTACTTGGGGTAAAACCTAGATAATATTCAGATTTGGGCTGGTAAGTGGCTAATGCGGAGGAAAAGAAAAGCATCTCCATAGATGAGATTGACATTTAATGGCTTTACCATCACTGTATCCCTCAATACCAACATCCTTGAGGTTAACACTGACTTGAAATTGAACAGTTATAGTCATGAGAAAACTTGTTTTTTATGTAGCAGGGAACTCTGTAATGAGTAATTCCCTCTCCGACTCACCAAAACCTTTCCACCATTATGTAAGCACAAAGAAAGAGTGTGATGGAATAATATCCCCTTGCTTGATGAGTGCAACTCCTAAAACACTCAAGAAGCTTGACACCATCCAAGACAAAACAGCCCATTTGATTGATATCTCTTCCATCACTTTAAGTCGTCAGATTTTCACCTCTGGTGGGAACAGTGTGTGCAATCTATGAGATGCACTGCAGTGACTCATTGGTTACATGGACTGCAGCAGTTCAAGAAGGTGGCTCATCATTACCTTCTCAGAGCTATTAGGATTGGCAATAAATATTTACAATCCATAATAGATAAACACAAATGACCCAAATGTAAGGTGATTACATCTTCAAAAATGCACCTGATCACATCTGACATCTCTACTCGGATAAGCATTTTATTCTGGTTCTTGGAGTATAATAATTTTTTTTTTTAAATAGTGCTGCTTATATTCTCTGATGTAAAATTCCTCAGCTTCTACTGGGAGGACAATTGAGAATATACAGTAGGTTAGCTATAATTCCTGGCTGTGTTCAGGTCAGAGTCTGGTAAATGCGTATCTTGAATTTACAACAATGGGTGTTGTTAAAATATGAACTGCCATATCTCAATGGAGTTTCTTTCTTTGCAGGAATTTTATTTTCCATACTGATATTTCTGTTTGTGATATGGAAGGAACTTGTTGTGGATTTGGAAAGATACATACTCCTGGAGAGAAGGAACAGCTGCACAGATATCCTAGTCCACGTGCAGTATGGATGGTCATTCATGTTTGCAGCAGCTGGGATTCCTTTGGCCTTACTTGCTGGACTGTTATTTTATGTAACTGGCCACACCATTGACACCCATAACAAATAAGGCACAAATACTCGTGACTGGAGCATGAAGCTCTTGTGTGGTGCTAGATTATGTGCAGTGGCAAATCAAAAATGGTCTTCAATGCTCCAACATATTTGAAATTACAGAAATGTCTATCTTGTTTTGAGGTTCATGGAGTGATGAGGCCTAGGTCCATTTTCAGAAAATATTTTGTTGCGGTCTGGTGACACTTGAGAACACAGGAATTCGTTTTGATGACATTGACTGTGCTGAGGAGAATCTTACAGTCTAGATTGCAATTAATCATTTTAGCAAGTAAACACTTCACACATTCATTTGGCATTTCTTGGTCCATTGTTTTAACTCAGGCATTAACTTCATGAAATAACCCGACAGAGAAATGTCATTCGATCTAATCGATTGTTCACCCAGTACAATTATCAAAAGGAATTCCTCAGCTTTGATCTTATAAAGACAAGTTTTTTGTATTAGATTTTTTAAAAATCAAGCAATAACTGAAATTATGGTTTCAATAATGCTTTTATTCCATGACATTCTACTGAAATAAAACATACTATTTTGAATAACCCAGGTACCACATTTGTACACATAGGTATCTTAATATGCTTTTCTCATAATTTTACATTTACTGCACCAGATACAGTCTCGATGTTTTCAGTAGCTATTATTTAGTGATTGGTTGATGTGGAATAAAAGCTTTACAGTAAATGGCAGCTGACTTTAATGTGTTTCTGACCAGCTCTTTATCCACATACTCTCTAGCTGAATGTGAAAATGCATTCATGTATTTAGACCAATGACTGTTAGTGTATTATGATGTGAAAAATTTAATAGTTGTGCTTTGAAAACAGATAATAGCTTAATAACAGTGCAAGAAGCCAGATGGTGTGATGCTGTTGGTATGTTTAAATTTGCTGTTCAACTTTCAAACTCTTTCCACCATGATCCCAGTATTGTAATGGGTGTGCTGACAAAGACTATGTTACTGTACCAATTTTTACTGCTTGTTGATGCGTAAGAAATATATCATTGCTGAAAAACATATATTTTGTACCACTTTGGGCACAATGCAAATAATCTTACAATAATCATTGCTCAGAAAATGCAAAAACATCATTTTGAGAGCCTATACAAAGCATAATTCAAACGTGGACTTTACAGGGAAGGAACTCTGCACCTCAACTAAATCAAAATTTCAAAGAGGGAAGAATGAATCCAATAGTAAGACATTCAGTTGAACAGAATTGAAGACTGAGCTAAAAGTTGCATCCTTGGCACTCATAAACACATGAATAAAATACGTTGGATGAAGGTATCACTGAAACATTTAACATGATGTTTAATTTCTCTTTCCTCTTACTTTAACACCGAGTGAACTCCCTCATTTTATGTGGATGATGCTGGAGTGGAATGCTTTGAGCTTGCAAAAGCATTACTCATAGTCATTTCCAGCTGACAAAGAATCATCCACTAATTCTTGTTCAAAGATTGTGTGAAGATTCTCCACAGCACAGTCACCAATTATAACCAGGGCTGAGCCAGAATTTTGAAATAGGAAGCTATAGCCAGAACAAAAACACAAGTTGCTGAAAAAGCTCAGCAGGTCTGGCAGCATCTATCAGAGTTAACGTTTCGGGTCCGGTGACCCTCCCTCAGAACCGGACCCGAAACATTAACTCTGATCCTTTTCTTCACAGATGCTGCCGGACCTGCTGAGCTTTTCCAACAACTCCTGTTTTTGTTCCTGCTTTACAGCATCCGCAGTTCTTTCGGAAGCTTATAGCCAGGTGATTAGCAATTTTTGGGATCTTAGAATAACTGGCCAAGGAAAGGTATGCAAGGTTATTTGACTGTGCAGAATGGCCAGAATTGGAATCAGGAAAGCACTAATCTTAAAACTCCTGACCGTTGTAGTAAAGGAAATCTTCAGGCTTGTCCATGAGCATTTTGAAGTGAAAAAAGATCTCCACTGACTGATAACCGTCACTCTCTTCGGATATGATTTTGTAAATTGTAAAGTTTTGTTGTTTTCTAATGCACCAAAGGCTTGCGAAGTTCCTGACCACTAGCAAATGTTGTCTCTTGTTGAATGTTGTGCCATTGTGTCTCAGTGTGAAGGTGGCGCAAGTTCAGCACTGTCTACTACCTTCATTCCTTTCCTCTTACCGCAGATACACATTTTAGCACAATACCAAGGCAATTACTCCGTCTCCCCACAGTTTGCACGATGAAAAATTCGAATGACAAGCAGACATTGAGAATCAAATATCCTCGATCGGAAACATTGGTCAAGTCTCCTGTGACAGCCGATTAACCAGTACAAAGGATTCACCACTCTAGAAAAGATGAATTGAGTGGATGAACTGTGGTTTCTACACATCAAAAACTGCAGGTGTCCCAGCAGGTAAACGAAGACATTAATCAAAGCGACAATATTGTTTATAAAGAGGACATTAATTGAAGCACTTATACAAATCTATGGATCAAAGGTTGGAGAACATCGATTCTACTTTGATCTGACTAGCTTGTTAAACCTCAGAATGACTATAATGTGGTTTGATCTGAAGAAAAATTCAAATATCACAGTGCCTGCTATATATCACATGAATCGAGCTACAACAGAACACTGAGGGATCACAGTGATGTGTCATTTTCTATCTGAATCAGTTTTTTAGACTAGGTAGTCACTTATAGCAGATCTTCGTTCAATAAGAAGACTCAGATCTGATTATATTGTCGCTTTGATTAATGTCTTCGTTTACCTGCTGGGACACCTGCAGTTTTTGATGTGTAGAAACCACAGTTCATCCACTCAATTCATCTTTTCTAGAGTGTTGAATCCTTTGTACTGGTTAATCAGCTGTCGCAGGAGACTTGACCAATGTTTCCGATCGAGGATATTTGATTCTCAGTGGCTGCTTGTGATTGGAATTTTTCATCGTGCAAACATTACTGTGGGGAGACGGAGTAATTGCCTTGGTATTGTGCTAAAATGTGTATCTGCGGTAAGAGGAAAGGAATGAAGGTAGTAGACAGCGCTGAACTTGCGCCACCTTCACACTGAGACACAATGGCACAACATTCAACAAGAGACAACATTTGCTAGTGGTCAGGAAATTCGCAAGCCTTCGGTGATTATATTGTCGTGTCCTGGTTCTGATGTTGACTCCATTCTGAGAGAGCGTGCTCCAGTACCTTTCCTGCCATGTGAAGACAGGCATGAAGTTGTTGGTAGAAAGAAAGACCAACTAGAGTCATAGAACATAGAACATAGAACATAGAACAGTACAGCACAGTACAGGCCCTTTGGCCCACGATGTTGTGCTGACCTATTATCCTACTCTAAGATCAAACTACCTAGCATACCCTACATTCTACTAATGTCCATGTGCGAATCCAAGAGTCACTTAAATGTCCCTAATGTATCTGGCTCCACTACCACCGCCGGCAGCGCATTCCACGCACCCACCACTCTCTGTGTAAAGAACCTACCTCCGACATCTCCCCTATACCTACCTCCAATCACCTCAAAATTATGCCCCCTCATAATAGTCATTTCCACCCTGGGAAAAATTCTCTGGCTATTCACTCTACCTATGCGTCTCATCATCTTGTACACCTCTATCAAGTCACCTCTCATCCTTCTTCGTTCCAATGAGAAAAGCCTTAGCTCCCTCAACCTTTCCTCATAAGACCTGCCCTCCAGGCAGCATCCTGGTAAATCTCCTCTGCACCGTCTCTGAAGCTTCTACATCCTTCCTATAATGAGGCGACCAGAACTGAACACAATATTTCAAGTGTGGCCTAACCAGGATTTTATCGAGCTGAAACATAACCTCGCGGCTCTTAAACTCAATCACCCTGCTAATGAAAGCCAACACACCATACAACTTCTTAACAACCCTATCAACTTGGGTGGCAACTTTGAGGGATCTATGGACATGGACCCCAAGATCCCTCTGTTCCTCCACACTGCCAAGAATCCTGCCATTAACCCTGTATTCTGCACTCAAATTCGACCTTCCAAAATGAATCACATCACACTTTTCTGGGTTGAATTCCATCTGCCACAACTTTGTCCAGCTCTGCATCCTGTCAATGTCCCTTTGCAACCTACAACAGCCCTCCACGCTGTCAACAACTCCACCAACCTTCGTGTCATAGAGTCATAGAGTCATACTGCATGGAAACAAACCCTTTACTTTGTTGACCCAGGAGGGCATCGTCCTCACAAGACTTAGGAACGGGCTGCGGTTTTCGGTCCCTCAGAGCCTGCATCACTTCAGAGAACTGCAGCAGTAATCTCTACAACAAGACTGGCAGAGTCCCTCATCCTATCTCGCATTACACACATCCATGTCTCACTGAAGAAAAGTAACATAAAGCTCTCTACATATTAGTGAATTGTTATTTAGCACACTTTACTGAGTCCTGACCTGCAACACCAGATGATGGATCTAGTCACCTCCATCCTTGCTTCACAGAAATCAGAGAATAATATAAGCTCCCTGATACAAAGGGGCCTATTTAGCCTATACCCTGTTCCTGTTAGTTGCAGAATGTTACCAGCGTAATGCTGCCTTCCAGCCTTAAGTCTCGAGCCCTGCAGGTTACTGCTCTTCAAGGAAGGATCAAAGCATTTCTTAAATGTTGTGACAACTCTTTCAGACAGTGAATTCCAGGTTCCCACTGCACTCTGGCTGTGAAAATTATTCCCCACCTGTCCTCTCATGTTTCTATCAATTATTTTAAATCCATGTCTCTTCCAGTATTTTCAATGTGCATTCGACAATTGATGATGTGATTTAACATGCCAAGACTTTTTAGAAGAAGAATGAGAGAAGAGACGAGGAAACCTGTTTTATTCTATATCTGTGCACTTAATGCAATAAGTTTCAATGTAACAAATCCCTGGTGTCAAATTTTGCTCTTGCTTTTTTAAGGATTATCCTTCCCAATCGTTTTCATTGTGAAATCCGGTCAGTGCACCAGGCCTCTTTTGAACGAAAGAAACTGTT